GTCTATGATTCATATTGCTAGGGGCTCTAATGGAAAAAGAGGACAACATGCAAGAATAGATGGATAATGTGAGCAAAGAAATGGAAACTCTTAAGAGAGTATCAAATGAAATGCTAGAAATCAAAAGCACTTTAACAGAAATGAAGAATTTCTTTGATGGGCTCATCAGTAGACTGGGCATGGCTGAGGAAAGAATTAAAAGAAATGAAGATAAGTCAATAGAAACTTACCAGACTGAAAAGCAAAGAGAAAAAGGAGAACAGAATATCCAGGAACTGTGGGACAATTACAAAAGGTGTAACATATGTGTAATAAGAATACCAGAAGGCTAAGAAATAGAGAAAGGAACACAAGAAATATTTGAAGTAGTAATGGCTGAGAATTTTCCAAACTTGTTAACAGACACCAAACCACAGATCCAGAAATTTCAGGGAACAAGCAGGATAAATACCAAAAAATCTACACCTAGGCATATCATATTCACAATGCAGAAAATCAAAAACAAACAGAAAATCTTGAAAGAAGCCAATGGAAAAAAAACACCTATAAAGGAACAAGAATAAGAATTACGTTGGCCTTTCTTCAGAAACCATGCAAGCAAGGAGAGAGTAGAGCAAAATATTTAAAGTGAAAGAACAACAAAACCAAAAACAAAAAAACGCCAACTAGAATTCTGTAACGGGCAAAGTTATCTTTCAAATGTGAAAGAGAAATACAGGCTTTCTCAGGCAAACAAAAATTGAGGGAATTTGTCGCCACTAGATCTACTTTGAAAGAAATGTTAAAAGAAGTTTTTCAGAGAGAAGGAAAATGATGTAGGTCACAAACTTGGATCTACATGAAGGAAGAGCATTTGAGAAGAAATAAATGAAGGTAAAATAAAATCTTTTCTTTTTTGTGTTCTTAATGGATCTAACAGATAACAGTGTGTTTAAAATAATAATATAACAATATGTTGGATGATTATACCTTATGGATAAGTGAAATATGTGGCAGCAATGTTATAAGGGACTAAAGAGAGGAATTGGGAATACTTTGTTATAAGCACCTGTACTACCCGTGAAGAGGGTTAGCATTATTTGAAATGGACCTAGGTTAGTTGTAAACTCTAGGGCAAACTCTAGGGCAACCACAAAAAAAAAAAATTTTTTTAAAGAAGCGTTATTGATATACTAAGAGAGGGAGAAAATGGAACAAGGGCAATGAATAGAAAACACAAATATGATAGATATTAATTCAACTATATCAATAATCACTTTAAGTGTGAATAGTCTAAATTAAAAGACAGACTACCAGAGGGAATAAAAAAATAAGACTCAACTCTGTTGTCTATAAGAAACCCACTTTAAATATAAAGAAAAATAGATTAAAAGTAAAGGAATAGAGATAGATATACCATACTAACACTAATCAAAAGAAGCTATATTAATGTCAGACAAAGCAGATTTCAGAATAAAAAGATTATCAGAGATAAAGAAGGGCATTACATAATGATAAAGGGGTCAGTTCTCCAGGAAGACATAATAATCTTGAATGTGCATATGCTTAACAACCGAGTATCAAAATACCTGAGGCAAAAATTGATAGAACTGCAAGGAGAAAGAGACAAATCTGCTATTGTAGTTGGAGTCTTCAATACCCTTCTATCAGTAACTGACAGATCCAGCAAGCAGAAAAACAGTAAGGATATAGTTGAACTGAAGAGCACGATCAATCAACTGGATCTAATTGACATTTATAGAATAGTTTATCCAACACAGCAGAATACACATTCTTCTAAATCTTACATGGAACATTCACCAAGCTAGACCAATCCTGGTCCATAAAACACACTTTAACAAATTTAACAGAATAAAAATCATACCAAGTATGATCTTGTAACATAAAGAATTAGACTAAAAATAACAGAAAGATAGCTAAAAAATTTCAAAATGCTAGGAGATTAAACAACACACTGGGTCAAAGAAGTTTCAAGAGAAATTTCAAAATATTTTGACTCAATTAAAATGAAAATACAACTTAGCAAAATTTATGGGGTACAGCAAAAGCAAAGCAGTGCTTAGAGAGAAATTTATAGCATTGAACACATATATAAGAGAAGAAGAAATATATCAAATTAATAATCTAAGATACCACTTTAGGCAACTGGAGATAGAAGAGCAAATTAAATCCATAGTAAACAGAAGAAGGAGCCTGGGTGATATAAATGGTTAACAAGTTTTGGCTGCTACCGGAAAGGTTATGGTTTGAGTCCACCCAGAGGTGCCTGTGAAGAAAAACCTGGTGATGTATTTCCAAAAAAATCAGCCACTGAAAACCCTGTGGAGGACAATTCTACTCTGATACGCATGGGGTTTTCATGAGTCTGGATCAGCTCGACAGCAAATGGTAGAAAACTGGTAAGAAGAAGAAAGAAAGAAAATTAGAGCAGAAATCAGTGAAATTGAAAATAAGGTTAGTGGAGAAAATCAGCAAAACTAAAAGCTGATTCTTTGAAAAGATCAATAAAAATTGATAAACCTCCAGCTGGGCTAACAAGAGAGAGAAAGAGAAGTCAAATTGCCAGTATTAGAAATGAAAGAGAAACCATCACAACTGATCTCATGTGACCACAGACTTGATAAGTTAGATGAAATGGACCAATTCCTGTAAAGACACAATCTACCAAAACTCACACAAGGAGAAGTAGATAATCTGAATAAGCCTATGTTATGGATTGAATTGTGTCCCACAAAAATAAATGTTGAAGTCCTAATGCCTGCACCTGTAAATATGACCCTGTTTGGAAATAAGAGTTTTCTTTTGTTAATAGGTCGTACTATAGTAGGATAGGTCATAAAGCTAGTTGCTTCTGAGGGGTGTCTTATAAAAAAAGCAGAGTAGACACAGAGACACACACAGAGGGAAGACAGATAACATGTGAGGATCACCTACAAGCAGAGGAATGCCAGGGATTGCTGGCACTAACTTAGGAGAGAGGCCCATAGAATAATCAATATGGTTAAGAACCTAATTTAGACTCTGAGCCTCCAGAACTGTGAGAAAATTAATTACTGTTCATTAAAACCACTCACTTGTGATATTTCTGTTAAAACACCACTAGCAAACTAAGATAACCAAAAAAAAAAAAAAAACCCCTGTTGCCATCGAGTCATTTCCAACTCATAGCAACCCTATAGGACAGAGTAGAATTGCCCCATAGGGCTTCCAAGGAGTGGCTGGTGGATTCAAACTGCTGACCTTTTGGTTCAGATTCATTTTTATTATGAAAATGTTTACACAGAGATAAAGCAGCCGAGCTCTTAACCACCGTGCCACCAGGGCTCCAGCAAACTAAGATAGGTTACATCTATTAAAGAAATTGAATCAACAGTTAATAACCTTCCCAAACAGAATGTAACACACTCAGATGGTTTCCCTGGTAAATTCAACAAACACTGAAAGAAGAATGAACACAAATCCTTCTCAAACTCTTCCAAAAAATAGAACAGGAGGGAACACTTCCTAACTCATTCTGTGAGGCCAGTATTATCCTAATACCAAAAGGAGAGAAAGACATTACTAGGAAGGAAAATTACAGACCAATATCTCTCATGAACATAGATGCAGAAATCCTCAACAAATCAAATACAGCAAAGTGTAAAAAGAATTATACAGGATGACGAAGTACATTTTCTCCCAAATATGCAAGGTTGGTTCAACATTCACAAATCAATTAATGTAATCACATCAACAAGCTAAAGAGGAAAATTCATATGATAAGATAAATAGATGTGAAAAGAGCATTTGACGCCCATTCATGATTAAAAAAAAAACCTCTCAGGAAGCTAGGAATAGAAGTGAACTTTCTCAAGTTGGTAAATGGTTGGCTCTTTGCTGGAGACAAGGCCACTGTCTGGGTGAGGAGTGCAGAATTACACTTAGCAGTGTCAACTGATGAAATGATATCCTAGAAACCCAAACCTAGGGAGAATCAGTCCTGAGAGGAAGGCAAAGTCGTGTGTAGACCACAGTGGGGTCTAGATGAAGAGGCAATTCTTTGATGTAGTGTTACGGTGGCACCCTCGTACGAGGACAGCATCATGTGACGAAGAAGGACTCAGGCAAAGTCATGCAGGCCCCGTGGCATGGAGGGTAGTGGGCGGCAGTAAATAAAATAGAACAGAGACAGTATCCTGTACTGTTTAAGCCACACTATTTAAGTTTTTCATTATCTGTTCAATTTTCTTTTTATTTTACCTAGTAAGATCTCTTGAAAGTTCCCAGCTGTATCAGCTGTCCAAAGTGGCATCATTGGAAGGTTCTGTACCCACATTTGGCCTGGGCATTTAAGAGGAGTTAGGGCTCCCCTGCAGGCTGGCTTGGTGGTATAGAGGGGGAGGTCCCAAGGAAAGGGAAAATAAGGGGACAAAATCAAGTGATCTTAGCAGCCTTCTCTAGAACATTCTTCATCCAGGATTAAACCTTGCACATTAGAGGTTTTAGTAGGAGAACTTTACATAGCAGAGCTTCTGTTAAACAAGGCCATCCAGCGTCTTACTTAAGGGATTCATTCTTTAATTGAGAGTCTGTCTGTTGTCAGCTAAACTGCTCAGGGCAATAAAGCCTTGTTTTAGAATGGAAGGACCTGACCCTGGCTTCAGATCTGTATAGACAGAGCTCACTCTGTGTGAGGTGTTGTTAAACCCTCTACTAGAGTTACAGCCAGTCCTTAGAAGTCTCAGGTGTCTGTGGCATTACGAGTTAACAGCCATAGTAAATAGCTAAAATGTGAAGAAGAAGGAAAGAGATGCCAAATGGGCAGCGTGCTTTTGGAGCACAAGAGATGAATTCTCCCCGGAGGACTTGGGGAAGGTTGCATTTAGGTTGAACCTTGAGCAGGGAGTAGGGTTTTAATAGGCAGAGGAGTGAAAATTTTGTAAGCAGAACACCAAAAAAAAAAACAAACCAAACCCGTTGCTGTCAAGTAGCAACTACACGACTCTTCAGTTGTGCAAAGCAGCCGTAGATGATAGGTAAATGAGTGAACGTGGCTGTGTTCCAATAAAATTTTATTTTCACATTTTTGTTTTGTTTTAAAATCCACTAGTAGGGTGGATTTATCTGAGGGACATAGTTTGCTGACCCCTGATCTAGAAACCTTATTTGACCCCTGATCTAGAAACCTTATTTCCTTTAGTGGCAGTGATTTTATTGACATGACTTGGTCAGCTGCCTGTAATTTGTTTGGTTGCTTTTCGTGCAGCGTGGTTTAACTGGCTCCTCTGTCTCTCTATTTCCTGTAAATTTGAAGGTTGAGCTAAAGGCTTAACTAGGCTCAGGTTCACCATTTTTGGCAATGTTTCAGAAATGGTTTGAATTTTTTTGAATATAAATTAATCTGACTTTAAAAGACTTAGAAATACTCATCTAGAAAGCTCAGTATTCCTAAAGTAGGCTTTGCCTGATGGCTGAAATTATACTTTTTCTTTCTTTTCTTACTTATCTGACTCGTAGGGGAGGATATAGCTGTTATTTCTCAAGGAGGTCAAGAACTTTTGTAACCTGACCCTGCGAATGCCAGTAAATTTCCATTAGTCCTTAAACTAGCCCAAGCCAGTGTTGGCCCACCTTGCAAGCACAGAAGGGCCAGCCGTGACTGCTAATTGACCTCAACAGCGGACGCAGCAACAGGTGGAACAAATGAGAAGGAAAATCATCACTGGAACCCTATTCTGAAGTGGGAGGTCTAACAAGAACCACATCACCTCCTGTTTCCTGGCTGCCTTCTAGAATTTTCCCTCCCTAGTACGCCTGCGGGCCACCATCTTGGCTGCCCAAATCACAGATAAAGCCCTGCTTCTCCATAGCTTAGGGAGTTGGATCTGAGGAACTTCCTCCTGGCTTGTTGCTCTGCACATTGCAATAAAGTTACTTTCTCTTTCTCAAAGACCAGTGTTCAGATAATCGGCAAGTCTTAGCGCGCCAGACAAGGACCCACCTTCCTGGGTTCAGTAACACTTTGAAGCCCTCTGCTAGGTCAGTGGTAATTTCTACTGAAGGCATTTTGGAATCTCTCTGGATGGTGGACCACATTTTTTCACTGGAAATACCTTCCCTGGGTCCATCCCCGAGGTCTGAGATAGCCTCCAGCAGGGTGTGGGTCACTTGTTTCTGTTTTTAAACCACTCTTAAACACTTTCTTTACTCGGCTTCTTCTTCATCTTGTCCCCCAGGAGGATCGAGAGCTGGATATTTGGTCCACAGGTGTTTGTGGTCATTCTGTGAAACAGAAATACTTATCCTTGTGTCCCATGGAAGGATTCTGAAGCCAAAAGCTTTTAAAACTCTTAGACACACTGTGGTGCTGGATTCCAGGGCAACATATCTTTGAAGAAACAAGCTTACTGGTGAGAATTGTTTTTTTCTCTGTTCTAGCATGTTCATTGTGCCTAAATTCTAGAGCAGCAGAGGAAGTATGCTGACAGATAGTGAAAATTGGAAGTCTTTTTTGTCATTTAAGAATAGTAGGGGGAAAACCCATCATTGTTCCATTCATTTACATTTAGCAATTGTGTATTAAGCTGCTCTGGGCTTAGTTATATACACAAGGTTAGTTATTAGTAAATATGCTAGGTCTTAGAACTTATTTCCTACATGGGGAGACAGGCATTAGTGTTATAGTTAAGGGTACCAACTCTTGTGTCAGACTGCCTGGCTTCAAATCCTGGCTCTAATTTTTTAATTAAAAAAGTGAGGATAATAACAGTGTCTACCTCATAGGCTTATTGTGAGGATTAAATGAAAAAACCCACAAAAAGTGCTTTGCATAGTACTCGGTATTTAGTAAATACTCAATAAATGTAAAATTTAAAAAACAGAATAATTACGATCAAATGAGGACTAAGATGGAAAAGTGTAACCAAAAACCCATTTTCTTCAAGGTGATTCCAATTCATAGCAACCCTATAGGACAGAGTAGAACTGCCCAGTAGGGTTTCCAAGAGTGTAAATCTGTATGAAAGCAGACTGCCACAGCTTTCTCCCAAATAGCCGCTGGTGGGTTCAAACTGTCAACCTTTCAGTTAGCAGCCTAGCACCTAACCACTGCTTTACCAGGCTCCTTGGAGAAGTATAGGTGATAAGCAAATGTATAAAGTGAGTTTCGTGACCTACTCTGGACTGGTTAAGTAGGGTCTGGGGAGGACTTTTCTGAGGAAAAGACTTTTGGGTAGAGATGTGGGATATGGAAGACCACATTTTTTAACCAAATGAAAGTTGGCAAACTGAAAGGGGTTGGAGGGTGGGACAGCAGAGAAAAGGCACAGTCAGAGCCCTTGCAGTTGGATGAGACGTGTTCAGTACATTTTTCATGTTGTGCCACCATTATCACCATCTTTTCTCAAAATATTCCACCACCATTAACATAAACTCTGTCCCCACAAACAGAAATTTCCCCTTTCCTCCTCCCTTCCACCTTTGGTAAACATTAATAATCTTTGGTTTCTATATATTTGCTTATTTCATGTAAGTGAGATCATACAATATTTGTTCTTTTGCGACTGACTTATTTCACTCAGCATAATGTTTTCAAGGTTCATCCATGTTGTGGCATACATCAGAAATTCATTTCTCTTTACAGCTGCATAATACTCCATTATATGTATATACCACATTTGGTTTAACCACTCATTTGTTGATGGACATTTTGATTGTTTCCACCTTTTGGCTATTGTGAAAAGTACTGCAATGAACATTGGTGTACAGATTTTAGTATTCCTGCCTTCACTTCTGGGTATATACCTAGGATTTGGATTGCTGGGTCATATGGTAATTCTATGTTCAACTTTTTGAGGAACCGCCAAACTGTTTTCCACAATGGCTGTACCATTTTACATTCCCACCAGCAATGGATGAGGGTTCCAGTTTCTCCACAACCTCACCAGCACTTGTTTTCTGTTTTTTTTTTTTGATCATTGCCATTCTAATGGGTGTGTGGTGATATCTCATTGTGGTTTTGATTTGAATCTTTCTAATGGCTAATGATGTTGAGCATCTTAGCCATTGCTTGTTGCCTTCTACCTCCCTTTTATAAGGACTGTTGGAATTACATTGAGCCCAACGGGATAATCCAGTATAATCCTCCCATCTCAAGATCTTTAATTTAATCACATCTACAAAGCCTCTTTTACCGTGTAAGGCAATATATTCCCAGGTTCCAGGGATTAGGATGTGGATATCTTTGTGGGCCGTTACTCAGCCTAACTCCCCTCGTAATGCCGCAAACACTGCAGGATCAGAGCAGCTCTCAGATGTACCGTGGTAGTCAGATGCTCTAATACTAGATGTTAGTAATTCTCAGGGAGAGTTTCACTGCACTTCCACACAGAGGCAGGTGAGTATGGTCTAGACTCGAGGACCCCACCTCCTCAGCGTTGGTAGGAGGGGCTTTCGAGTGACAGGAGCCATTGTCACCACATGCTGGAATGCCGTCCCTTTTTCAGAGCTCAACTGAACTGCTGTCAGAGCCTCCTTTGATTCATTGTCCTGTGTCCCATCCTCCCCACAGGTGGGACCACTCCTGCCTCTGCTCTGATGGTGTTCTTGCTGCTGCTGCTGCTGTTTTACCTTTTTAAATTTTATGTTGCCATGTGTGATTACTTTTCCATACTAGCTTTAAACACTGCCAGACCATAAGCTCAGGATGAGAACCACGCCTTCCTCATTCTGATTCCCCCATAGTACTTTCTGAGTCATGCTCAGTAAGCCATTGCTGAAAGAAGGAACTCTTTTCCAGTGAGTTGGGAGAGTTCTTATGGAACTCTGATATTCTGAGTTATGCCAGAATAAATTAGAGTGAGGAAGAGTAAATTAGAGAGAACTTCTCATATTCTGCTGTATTCTTGTCCATTGTTTCAAATTTCTACATCTGCTTTTAAGCCTTGTCTCTGTTCTTTACAGTGTTAATTACCTCTTCCTGCTGTTGTCATCTGCACTTATGAGTATGCAGGGGATAAGCTAATGAGAATTATTAATATTTTTAAATCACATGATGGTTTTACTAATTTATGAACATTAAATGAAATTTGAAAGAACGTTCTTTGAACCCTCCTTTTTTTAGAATAATCACAACTGCCTGCTCTGAATTACTCTTTTTCCCTTGATTTGGTTTTCTGTAAAGTTACATGCAGATTATAAAAGCCTAATAAAAATTTATGAGAGGAAATTAGTATCTTTTTATAAATGAATAAAGAACAGTTTGGCAGCATTCTTGGGAGTATTTATGAAAACTAAGTTGGGGTTAACTTGAAGATTATGTGAAGAATTGTGCAAGATACTTTACAGTAGCAGTCAGGTTTTTGCTCACAGCTAAGCCAGATGCACCACTCTCCCAGGGTTCCAGGACTTAAGATCGACTGTGATACAGTGTGAATAAACGAGCTACAAGAAATTTCCAGAAGCTAGATTACCTGCTGCTTCATACTAAGTTTTTTTTGGGGGATCAATTTACATCTGTGCTAACTGGCAAATGTCTTAAACAAACTAAACAAACATTCTCAACGCCAGTGGTCCAGGTTTCAGTTTAGGGGTGGCATAAGTGGCTTTTTAAATTATGTATCTTTTGCAGAAAATCTGCAACATGGCATCTTTAGCAAACTTGTTCCCCGAGAGGTGGGAGTAGAGCTGCAGTGTTGAAGAGACAGGGGTATGTATAACTCTGGCTGTTGGAGAAAGAAAAGAGGAGCATATTTGGTGCTCAGAGATTGTTTTTCTGTGGACTCCCAGGTGTTAGTATTGCCTTACAGAATTTGTAATCCCCGACTCACTTATAAAACACATGCTTCTTTCCCATCCTTCACTGTTGTTTCGAGTTATGCCAGAGTAAATAACACACCCCATGAAGAAAGGCAAGAGACAATGTTGTTCCATCCCTTTATACATAACGATTAGGTACAAATTGTCCTTGACTTTAGCTCCTGCTGAGGTGCATCCTTGTGGATTGTTATGGACTGAATTGTGTCCTCCAAAATGTGTTGTAAATCCTAACCCCTTATACTTGCGGTAAGCAGCCCTGGTGGCACAGTGGTTAAGTGCTCAACTGCTAACTAAAAGGTCAGTGGTTTGAACCTGACAGCTGCCCCGCAGGAGAAAGATGTAGCAGTCTGCTTCTGTAAAGATTACAGCCTTGGAAACTTTATAAGGCAGTTCTCCTCTGGGTAGGTGACCATCTCCTGATCAGCTATTCTAGAATTACTGGCATCAGCGAATAGTCCTGCCTCCCTTCCCCCATTAAGATAAAACAATAAATGTTTTGGGCCTCTCAGAGGGCAGTCATCTCCCCCTAAGGCACATACTTTACTTTGTGTCCATTAGTAGCTATTATGTCCATTAGTAGCTGTGGAGGTGGTAGGAGGGGCAATTATAGTATAGCACACCTGTGTACCCAGCACTGATTTTTCTTTAACGTGAGGCTGTAGAATTTTATTTCAGCAAATTGAACACAAGAGTACAATGTTCATGAATGTAATAATTATAATATGCCAGGAATTTAATTCAGAGAATGAATGTGTTAGTGCTCTTATTCTTACCTTTTATTTCTAACCCAGTGTTTTAGAACAGCTACATGGTCTCATGTTTTATTTTATTATTATTATTATTAAAATTTACATACAGTACAGTTTACTTTTTTGGGTGTGTAGTTATGTGAGTTTTAATCCATGTAGCTTTGTGTAACCATCATCTGAATCTGGATACAGAACAGCTTCATCACCCAAAAAAACAAAACTAAAAACCTCTTTTTACTCTTCCCCTTTGTAGTCAAACCCTTCCCCACCTCCTGGCTCTTGACAACCACTGATCTGTTCTCTATCCGTGTAACTTTTGCCGTTCCCAGAATGTCATATAAATGGAATCATATAGTATGTAACTTTTTGAGATTGGCTTCTTTCCCTCAGGTAATGGCTGTGAGATTCATCTATGTATTTATCAATAATTCATTACTTTCGTATTGCTGAGTAGTATTCATTATATGGGCATACCCATAGTATGGGCATACCACAGTTTGTGTATCCGTTCACCATTGAAACCAAACCAAACCTGCTGCTGTTGAGTTGATTCTGATTCATAGCGACCCTATAGGACAGAGTAGAACTGCCCCGATATGGTTTGGTTTCCAAGGAGCAGCTGGTAGATTAGAACTGCTGACTCTTTTGTTAGAAGCTGTAGCTCTTACCCACTGTGCCACCAGGTTTCCATTGAAGGGCATAGTTATTATAGTTTTTGGTATGAATAGAAGTTCTATAAACATTCATATTCAGGTTTTTGTGTGAACAAAAATTTTCATCTTTTTAGGATAAATACCTAGGAGTAGGATGGCTGGGACATATGGTAAGTGTATGTTTAACTTTAT